AGAAGGCACGGTTTTAACTGAAGAGGAGAAGGGAAGCTGCAACTGTGGGAAAGGAGAAAAAGAAAAGGAAAGAAAAGAAAGAAAAGAAAAAGAAAAAAAAGATGAGGAAAGAAATCTTTAACGACCTGCGATAAGGCATGGTGTGGCATGGGCAGTTCTGGGTTTTTAAAAATGGGTTAGTTTTGTTCTTTAAAAAGAGTTTTTTTTTTTTAAAAGAAAAGGAAAAAATAAATATAAAAAACTTAAGGCTTAATATAAAAAAATAAAAAAGTAAAAAAAGAGTTGGGTGACTCAATCCAACCTAGGAATGAAGCACCAACCCGATGCCTTCTTCTAACCTAAACTAACTACCTAGCTCACGATCCAAAGAAAGTCCAACTCATGTGGGCTCATTTTAGGCCGTTGATATAGAGTCCAATGCTCAAGTTATTCTGGGCCTAAATTCAAAGGTTTAAATTGGGTATGTTTTCTCATTAGGCTATGTCTTTATATTTATTTGTTTCAATGTTTGTTCATATGAGTTAGTAACTTAAAAATGTATATATGAACAAATGAAAAATATACATTTTAAATAAATAAATTTATTTATGAGAAATTATATTAATGTAAAATTTTATTGTGGAATATTAATAAGTAAATGAAAATATTTTCGATGATGAGATAGTAAAGAATTTTTAGTAGTGATTCTTTAAAAATTTTTATGTGAGAGTTTTTTTTTTTAAATACTACCAAAGTATTGAAGTATTTAGAAATATATTCAATATAAAAATATTTTCATTTACTTATTTTTAATTAAAAAATATATAAAAAAATAATAAATATATGTAAAAATAAATAAAAAAATGAAGGAAAGGAAATTTTTACATGATGATGAGAGGTTGTCTGAGTAGTGAGACCTAAAAAATCTCTATGTGAAAAAATATTTTTTAAATACTACTAGTGAATTGGAGTATTTACAAAATTTTCAATATTATAAAAATTTTTTTTCATCAAATAAAAAAGTAATAAAAATAACAAAAAAAGAATTATTAATTAAAAAGCGAAAATAAAATATAGGCATTAATATTTTGTCATTTGCATTGCATGAACATAATTCTTGGAAAATAAACACGAGCTTTTGATGATGGGACTCTAGCAAATTCGAGTAATGATTTCTTAAAATTCTCTAGATGAAAAATACTTATAAAAATTATTAAAATATTGGAATATTTAAGAACTCTTTTTGATATAAAGATTTTTATTTTTTTCTTTAATTTGAATAATTTTCTTAAAAAGAGATAAAAATATAAAATATTTATAAAAGTATGCATTTTTTAGGAAATAAATTTATTTATAAATAATTATATTATTGCATAATTTTTAAATATTAATAATTATTAAAAAATGAAAAAATAAGATTTCCTAAAATGAGATTTTAAAGAAGTTCAAGTAATAATTTTTTAAGAATCTTTAAGTAGCAAAATTTTTCTAAAATGCTACCAAAGTATTAGAGCATTTAGAATAATTTTCAATAAATATTTTCATTACCTTTTAATAAAGAAACAAGAAATAAATTTTTATGAAAAAAAAATTACTTGGATTAAATTATAAGTATGTTGTTATTATATATGTTTAAAATATTAGGTTTGATGATAAATATGAATTACTAAAGAAGAAATATATGAAAAGTCCGAGTAATGATTCTTAAGAGATCTTTAGGTGAGAAAATTTTTCTTAATATTAATAAAGTATTTGAATACTTTTAGAGATTTTTTTAATATGCAATGTTCTTATTTATTTTTTCAAACAAACAATTAAAAAAATGTTTTGAAAGAAAATTAAAAAAATTAATTTTAAATACTAAAATTTAGACCTTTTGGTCAAAATTAAATAATAATATATAATTAATTGGCATCGTTTTTGTTAAGTTCTGCGTGTTAATCCTTCATCACGCATAACCAACTCCTAAATTCAAATCCTTTTCGCAGACCTAAAAATTATTTTTTTTAATAAAATTTTAATTAATTTTAAAATTTTATTAAAAATGTATGTTTTAATAAATAGTGAATCACATCTAGTCAAAAAAATTAGTGATGATTGTATATTTTTTTAAAATTTGTCTAACGGTTTTCAAAATTATTACGGTAACTTGGTGAATTCACTAGAAACGTATTTTTTTTAGAGTAAGATCAAAATTAATTATATATTATTCTTAATTTTGATATAATGATTTTATACTAATATAAAATTATAAATTTTATTTATGAATTGATAAAACTTTATAATTTTGAGAGATTTGTTTCAAGAAATTTTTTATACATAATAACAATTAAACACTGGTTTATATGTGACTCAAGAGTCAAAAGATCAACTACTAATTATTGCCTCTCCTCCATCATAGGTTTGATCGAAAGACTTTCAAGCCAATTCCTTTCTAATGACTCATATCACGCCGCCAACCAAAATTTTTTTCCTCCTTAAAGTCCTATTTCTTTTGTTTCCATTTAATTTTTATTTTTTAAAACAATTTGAAGACAATGTTAACAATACAGGCATAAGATTTCGCACCTATATACAGTAATATTGTTGTATGAAAATCGGCTTTACTTGTAATCACAAGAATTCAAAAGTCATAGCCATTCACGGAAGCGACCAACCCCGTCCATGACTTTTCATTCGTACGACGATGTCTTAGAGGTGAGCGAATTGAGCCGACCTCCCCCAAACGTTATGAAATTTCCGCTTCTCGTGTTTTTGGCATTTGACTGACTCGGCAGCTTTGAAATGTTGTGGTAATGTAGAAAATTCTATTCAAGATAATCAATATGTAAGTCCTAATAAGTTCTAAGTGATTTTTAAATTATGTATGAGGAAAGGGTTGGCTTCAATTTCGATTTCTGAAAGTAATTTATACTCTCAGCTGCTGCGTTAAAGATCATGAAGCAAACCATTAATTTGGATTTAAGTTATGAGAAACTTGGTGCCAAAATTAACGAATAATCTCTAACCCAACTAACCCAACGAGGCCATTCAAATGATCTTTGCAATGAGCAAAAAAACAAACTATTTAAGGAGGGAAAAGTTTAGGGTTAAATCATTTTGCACGCCATTTAAATGATCCGTACAATTTTTATTTTTTTTAATTTTGTAATTCATGATGAGCGATAAATTAAAGAAGAGATTTTAATTGAATTAATTTTTTATTTGAAATAAAAAATCAAATTCAAATTTTGTTCTTTGAATAAAAAAACTATATGCATTAATCAGTAAATCATATGCTGTTACCGGTGATGGTCTCTGTAACAAAAAAATGTTAGTGTGCTATAGGTTTTTTAAGGCTATTTGTTGTTGGAGAAGATATAACAGGCTTTGAATGCTCCAGAATTGACTTGCTGACCAACAAAGTGATAATCGAGAGCTAAATGTTTCATCTTAAAGTAAAAAAAAAAAATTAAAATAAAGTTTACACTTAGGCAGAGAAGGAACCACAATGGGGACAGAGGAGCAGCTGCGTCCGTTGAAATCCTAATGTCCCTTAAATTTTATTAAAATAGTCCTTAGAAAATTTAATTCTTTTATAGTTTGTCCCCCGTTAAAAATGGAAAGAAATAAAATATATAAAACATTTTTATAAATGTTTAAAAGAACAAAATTATAATTATAATAAAAATAATTTATTTTACAAAAATAATAAGGTCACATGTGTAAATATAAATAAAATAAACATTTATGAATAATTCAAGGACCACCATTCCATTTAGAAAACAATAAAAGTCAAACTGAAAGTGGTCTTTTTTTTTTTACATCACCCATAGTTTTTCCCTTCAGACTTTTTCCAAACCAATTAAAATTATGGATAGAGAATAAAACTAGAAAAATAACGATAAGATAAAGAAAAGCCAAAAAAAAAATCAAAGAAACAAATTAAAGAGTGAATTTTTTAATCTTCAAATAACACATTTAAGTAAGTAATTGCTTTTGGTATTTTTTTTTCTTTATATTTTTTGTTATTGGTTAATGTGATAGAGTATTTGCTTACTATTTAAATTTTTTATATTGATAAAATAATTTGATTTAAGATTTAATTTATGATTTATTTATATTTATATTATGAGTGGATTAAGATTGAAGAATGTCATATTTTCTTAAATTGTTCAATGAAGTAATTCAATTTTTATGAAGCCTTTTCATATATAAATTACATTATTTAATTAAAATTTAAAATACATAATAAAATATGCATGTTGGTTTTGTTTGCATAATTACAATTCAATATATTTTCTTATTTTTTAAAAATTATATAAATTAAATTATTTAATTTAATTAGTTGTAGAAAATTATCTTATTAAAAAAAAGTTGGAATCATTCAAAATTAATAATAGTAGCACACATAACACAACGAATTACAAAGCAAGTTTATATTGAATTAGATTTAGATGATTTTCCATCAAACCAAAAGTTACAAAAAAAAGGTTTTAAACTAAGAGAGACAATGTTTAAAGAGTTTATTTTCGTGTTCTAAAATTCATAATGAAAAATTATAATGTGTTATCTTTATATATAAACAAAATAATTTTGAATGCATTTAAATCAATTTATATTTATATATTTATATATTTAATATTATTTGTACTAATTCCTGCATTGAACATAAATCTTATATCTGTCCCCGCAGCTAGAGATCTTTGGGAAATTAATACCCAATTTTGCAATTAATGTATTTCGATAGATATAATCAACAAAACCATTCGAAGTACATACAAATTAAAAGTTAACAAATTACAACACAACACCATTAGGAAATTTAAATAAGTAATTAGTAACATACTGCTCCAAAGAATTCTCGAAATTCTAATACAATATAGGAAACGAAAATTTTTTATGTCAGAAAATATAATTGAACGGCTAACTTAACTTACACACGCAACTTTAATCTGCAGTAGAGTTTATTATTAGTAGAAAATACTCCAACAGCTACATACATGGTCGTACGCAGCTTTAATTTACAGTAGCTGACTCTTTCAAGAAATATGCAGTCTCTTCAACCTCTCATGCACTCCGACATTTTCAATTCCAATTCGAGAATAGGCCGCCTGTAAAAAGATCAATTGCGTAAATTCGGGCACCAAAGTAAAGCATATAAATATATATATATATAAATTATATGCTATATAAGTGATAAAGCAATTGATGAATATAATCGACCAGGAAGGGGATTAAGCTCAAATAAAATCTAGGATAACGAAGCATATTATCGAATAAATAAATAAATATAAAGTTTTTGTTCATTTGGAAAGTAAAATTTCATCATCCAATGAAAGCAGGATCACCAGCTGTAAGAAAACAAGAGAAAAATTTGTAAAGTGCTCATGTCGACTTAAAAAGACAAAAGTTGATGAATTAATTCCGATGCTGTATGGACTAAAAGCTTTATCCTTTCGAGTATGTTAGTCTTTCGAGCTAATCTGCAGTTTCCATTTGTTAAACTGTGAATCCAACTCCGTGGAAAACGATTGATAAATTACCTGATAATGAAATGAAAGGAGGATCTTATTCCCTGTATTATGATACGTAGCAGTTAGAACTTGGGCTCCTTCTTCCTCAAGGATACTGATAATGTCACATAATGCAAACTTGGTATCCATCCCAGCCATTGAATTTACTTCCATAGTAGAACCCTATTATTTAATTTAATTTAATTTATAATATCATCTTATCCTATCCTATCATATTTTGTGTACCAAGCACATTCTTAATGTCTTGATTATTTTTCATATATTTAACATGTAAAATTAAAAAAAAAAAAAAACAGGCTTATTTAAATTGTGGTATATGAATACACTTTTAAGTTTTGATGTATATAAAAAAAGTGAAACACATTTAATTAAATTGTGTTAAAATGAGTACACTTTAACATTTTTTTTATTTGTTTACTTTAATATAAACATATAAAACTATTTTAAACTTTAAATTTTGATATCTAATTATTTATTCAATATAATTAAATAAAGGCTTATTTTTAATATTGGTAATAGAACTATAATATAAATAATAATGTTGGTATGATTGTAGCTCATTATTTAGTACTTCATTATTTTAGATTTGTTGATGCTACTAACAAATAGATAATCTACAAATTTATGATTTAATTACCTTTGTTCTTTTGTTAAAAAATTATTAGAGATAAAATATGAAATTTTAGTTGTCAATAAAATATAACGTATTGTAAACGACGGTTGGACTGTTGTATTGTAGCAGAATTATGTTAGCTTAATAAATAAAATGCAAATTATCAAAAAAACATAGATCGCATTATTACTTGTATACAGATGACTTCAGTAGTTGTATTGTAATTTATGTTGCATTTAACTATTTATTTATTTTTAATCAATTTATTATATATATATATATTTATAAAAAAAGGAATCAAAGCTCATGGTCATAGGAAAAAAAGAAATACAGGTATTGAGAACAAAATGCCAAGATGCACTTGATTTCACCTCACTTGATAACTAAACCATTTGTGCTAAGACCCAAATTCATCTATAAATTTTGATTTAAATAGGTTATAAAGAGATTAATAATCTTGTTAATATGTCTAATCATATCTAATTGTATTGTATAATATAATATTTAAATGAATGAAATTTTAACGTGCTAGTTGTATAATAATGCATATAATACTTATACTAAATAAATTAAGTTTACGTTTAAAATTTTAATACGTTTAATTATTTTTATTATATTCATATCATATTTAATTAAAAATATAATACAAAACACGTTAAAAATATATAAATTGTATTTTTTACAAACTATCACTTAACTGGGTACATGAACCTCCAAGCTAGCTAAACCCATAAATAAATGCTTCTTAACAACTACTTATGAGCATCCGTCAACAGAAATGGAAACAATCATTGAAATTTGAGAATCATTGCAAACTATTTGAACGATGTTCAAATTGTTCGGCTATGGAATAGTATCGTTACTAAATTAGTTTACTTGTACGGGTTCCTTCCACGTGGTTTTATGTTGTCATATTTCTAGAAAATGAAACATTGACATTGGCTGATTCTTCCATTTGATTTATGTAGTCCTGCATATTGTATTGATTTGATTCCTTTCATTTTGCCGATTAACCTGCAAAAATTAAAAAAAAAAAAAATTAAGAAGTTATCATGCAAGTTACCCTTCATTAATTGGTTGTTGTTTATTTGTTTGATTTTTTTTTAATGTCTTTTCTCCTTTTTGATATGTATAAAAGTCCGTTTAATTTGGGTTATTTAGTGGAAATAGTCATTTTTCCTATTCTACACCCCAAATAACTGCATTCTGTTGTTAAAATTTTTTCTTTCATATTTCATATTTTTTGTAATTCCTTATATTTCTATATATAATTTGATCACTTCTAAAAAATCATGCATGATTTTGGAAATTTAGCACAGAACCACTTTGTTTTTCTTCCCCCTTATGTTGACAAAAATAAAGAAACCTGCGTATATAAATATAAATATAAATAATTTGTATATATGTAAGAATTTTAATAATTTTATGCAAAATTTAAAACTGCATAAACCCTAATTCCAATATCAAGGATCTTTGAACTTAATAAATGTAAGAAACGTGGGCCACATGAGTTCTATAATCTTCCACTTGGCCCATGTGACATTCTCTTACTTCGCCGATTTCTAGATAAAACACAATGCACAGTGACAAATCCTAATAGAAGTGAAATATATAATCAAATCAATCATTCACACTTAATACTCATAGATATTCTCATTTTCTTTTAATTCTATGAAATATTTTTAACCTAAACACATACTCATATGCAAATCATGTACCATACCTATAATAGACATCTTATTTTCCTCTAATTTACCCACAAACGTACAGTCTCATAAAGACATCAATCTCTTATAGTTTTATGAAGTGTCTACTTAATAAAATTTTACAACTTTCTTATATATTTTTCTCATATTTAACCATATGGAGACTCTATCTATTTATAAACATATAAACTTACCTATCAAGAATCCATTTCTTTTTAAAATTTTTCTTTTATAAGTTTTTTTATCCATCAAATAATATCCAACTAATTTCAAATAAATCTTTTATGGGATTTAAGTATTCCCAATAATCTCTACCTTGACTCAAATTTCATCAAATCATTAATTTTCATGTTAGATATGTTTAACTCCAACTACAATGGAAGTCTCGTAACAATCTTTTATTGTGTCTCCATACTTCACGTAAATTGATCATCAAAATACGAACTCGAACTTCTCTCTTGAATCAAGTTTTTTTGGGCTTGACTCTTTCCATGTTTCAAACCTTTAGTTTTGATACCACTTATTAGGTAAAAAGCTCTAATCAATTAAACATCCAAACCAGCATAAGTATAACCAAACAATCAATTAATCACACAAGAGATAGTTATTTAACATGGTTTGACCCAACCAATATATGTCTATAGATGAAAAAAAAGATTCACTAGTTGTAAAGAATTATAAATATATAATTAAATCAATCATTCATAATTAATACCTATAAACCCTCTCATTTTTCTTTAGTCTTAAGAAGTATTATCAACCTAAACAAACATATATATATGTGCACTCATGTATTACACTTATGTGGACTATCTCAATTTTTTTTAATCTACTCACAAATATACATTTCCATAAAGATGACAATCTTCTGTAGTCTTATAGAGTGTTTACCCAATAAAACTTTATAACTTATATGTTTTTCTCATATCTAATCATATTAAGATTTTACATATTTATAAATATATAAACTTGCCTATTAAGAATATATTTTCTCTTAAAATTTTTTTTTTGCAAGTATTCTTATCCATTAAATAATATTTAACTAATTTTAAATAAATATCTAATGAGATTTAAATTATTTTTCCCTACATAAACATAAGAAATAATATATAAATAAGCTTAAAGTATCAAATACATAATATCATAAAGTCATATCATAATATTCATTAGTGATTTTATGAACCAAACACAAATAAAATTTTGTTTGATTCGTTTACATTCATAAATAAATTTATTTAACATTTGTAAATAAGTTCAATAAATATCTAATAATATTTTGTATTCCTTATAAGATTATTATTTTATGATTAATAAAAGATTTTAAGCACAATTTGATATTAATACGTTGAAAAGTACATTTAACATATATTAAAAGATTTTATAATATTTTAAAATTTTATTATAAATATAATTTTTAATTATCTAAAAATAGAAAATAAACAAGTTAGAGAAGAAGACTTTTGTTTATACTTTTTTTTATACCACGTAATTTAAAAAACAAAGAAAGGAAGGGAAACTCTTTACAAATACGTTTTCGTTAGTCATTTTATCGAAATTGTTGGTAACCAATATATGACTGGGAGGTTCGTTGTAAATAATTTGTGCCCTTTTGCTAATTATAACTTGTTAAAGCCCTTTTGCTAATAGTCAATAGCTATTTTAGGTATGATGATGTGGCTACTATTTTCATTTGTCTTAATTGAGCCCAGTCTGAACAGGTTTCTGAGTTCATATAAAGCTCGACACATGTTTAAAATGGCTAGAGATATTCGGCTAGAATAGTTTACAGTCGTAGTCATAGGCTGCATTTGTACCATAAATTTTGCTACTCCTACTCTATAGCCGTAGCCCAACATAGAGATACACGGATGCGTTGTTCACACATGCAGTCATAAATTTGCATTTGCAATATTTGTCGTGTTACTCATATTTTTTTTTATTTTAAAATTATTTAAGTGTTATTAATTTTTATAAAATTTAAAAAGGTTTTAATTTTTGTATTTTTTTAATATGAGATTTAAAGTTTTTTATAAAATTAAAATCTTATAATATTTTATATTAAAAATATAAAATATAAATATAAAATATAAAAAATATATAATTTTGAGATATAAAATATATAAACAAGAAAATTAGTCAAAGAAAGTACTTGTTATTTACAAGCCACATGTCTTGTCCTTAAATCTAGCGACCCAATATTCTTTATCGTTTTTTATTTTTAATAAAAAATGTTGTGGATATAGATTGATTCAATAGAAAAGATTATGATGTAAAAATTTGCCTGTTTTTTTTCCTCGGTGGGCGTAGATAAGACACAATATTTAGACTAATCATTCAATAATTATCACTGAAAAAGTGTTTAGTTCCGGATTTTAGTAGGAAAAGTAATAATTGGAGAATTATTATTTAAGGAAATGGATGATTTTTTTATTATAAAAATATTAAATTTTTATATTTGATTCACGAAATATCATATTATATAATAAAATTTTTTTATTATAATATTTTTTATTATATGTGAATAATATGTGATAAATATTATAATATAAAAAGGATATATTATTTAAAATCTTATTTAATTATAAATTGTTAATTTGTCATTTGTAATTACATATTCATTATAATTTTAGTATTTTTATTAATTAATTTTTTAAACAAAAAATAAAAAAAGTTTTCATTTTTTCATTATGTTAAAAATAAGATCATATATTATGAAAAGAAAATAAAAAAGATAATGAAGACCGCACAAGAACAATGTTTATTAAGTAAAAAATTACTTAATATTGGATAAGCACAACATTTTAGTCAATATAAAT